CTGGATTATGAAGACCTCGACATCTGAAGGAAAACACGGAATACAATGGACAGCTCAGAACCAATTAGACGATCTGGACTTCGCAGATGACCTAGCTCTTATATCACGTACACACGAACAGATGCAGATGAAGACAGCCAGTGTAGCAGCAGTCTCTGCATCAGTAGGCCTCAGTATACACAAAGGGAAAACGAAGGTCCTCAAATTCAAAGCGGAAAACAGCAATCCAATCACTCTTGATGGCGAAACTCTGGAAGATGTAGAATCCTTCACATACCTGGGAAGCATCGTCGATGGACAAGGAGGTTCAGATGCAGACGTAAAGGCGAGGATTGGCAAAGCAAGGGCCGCATTCCTACAATTGAAGAACATATGGAATTCAAAACAACTTTCAACCAATATCAAAGTGAGAATCTTCAATACGAACGTCAAGGCAGTTCTACTGTATGGAGCTGAAACTTGGAGAACTACAACAACCACCATCAAGAAGGTACAAGTATTTATAAATAGCTGTCTACGCAAGATACTCAACATCCATTGGCCAGATACCATCAGCAATAGCCTTCTGTGGGAGAGAACAAACCAACTTCCAGCTGAAGAGGAAATTAGGAGAAGACGATGGAAATGGATAGGACATACATTACGCAAATCGTCAAACTGTATCACGAGACAAGCCCTAACTTGGAATCCTGAAGGGAAGCGGAAAAGAGGAAGGCCAAAGGACACATTACGTCGGATAATAGAAGCAGATATGAAAAGGATGAATTACAACTGGAAGGAGCTGGAAAGGATTGCCCAGGACAGGGTTGGATGGAGAATGCTGGTGAGCGGCCTATGCTCCTTCACGAGGAGTAACAGGCGTAAATCTTGCAAAAAAAAGGTCTGCTTCTAACAAACTAATGAAACTTAATCCTCACCTTTTTAAGAGATGTAGCCGGAGCTTATTCTTCTCTATTTCTTTCACACAAAACTAAGTATGTTCACTCTTAAACTACTTTGAACGCTATTCCAACGTCATGTATGGCAAATCTCGGAAATCATGATACGGTTTTATTATCCCTTTAAAAAATGAAACCATTGCCTCTTGAAAAGCCCATAGACAAGCAAAAAAGTGACCACATGAGAGTCAAAATGCAGGAAACTGCCTCTGTGAGATGATGTATTCGTCCACCAGTAATTGGAGGGGAGTGATGTTATCTTAGTCTACGACGTACTGAGTAATCCAGACCATCTCACCAGGGTAACCCTACCAGAGGGATACGATATAGACACAGGAAGCAATCTTCACAGAGTTTCACACCAAACGGTATGCATAATAGTGATAAATCGGGTTTATATACTGCCAGTATTTTTTATTTAACAAATTCGCGTTGCACAGTTATAGCTCTTTCACTAGGCCGCAGCAAATGATAGCTAGATGATTCACTGAAGATTCACGAACTACCTTTAAAAAATGGCCAACAAGCGAATGACTAGAATAAGATGTCAATACAAAAATGTCATGTTTTAACGCTGGAATTCACAACCTTATTTAAAAGTACTCTTTAAAAACAACTTCACTCGACTGAATGAGCAGAATTATGCATCATATGTCATACTATGTCTACATAACGACTTGTTAGGGCAGTTCTGAAAATTTCAGCGACTCCCTGTCCTTCTTTGATTCAAAGATCCTATAAAAATTGGGAAGTTTGATAAGGCCTTTTTCCGTAACACCTTGGTGATCGAAGGATGCCAACCCTGTCAAATCAGAAGTCAGGAGTGAACGAATTTGAAAATATATTTGGAAGGTTGTAAATGTGTTGAGAAACATTCAATTTGAGCTGACTAGCAGTTGCAAAGGATGAGTAGCATGGTGTGCTCACTCGTGATCTGGTACAGATAGGTGGTTGAGCGCCTTCAGTTAGGGTGTGTCCAGTAAGACTAATGAGGTCTGTGTTATTTGTCACCACGGATAGCTTGATATTATGTTGTATACCAGGGGTATGTGATGACCAACATGCATGTGAAAACATAGGGGCGTGATGAGGAAGAAATGAAGTAGACCGATGACGAAGTACGTCCATACAGATCATGATAGACAATGATACAGGGAACTTATTAGCATAATAAGAATTCAGATGTTTCACATATTATGATAGCTTGACATAGTCAACTGAACCACCTATGAATGGTGTACAGATTTCTGACCCCAGAAATCTAATTTCTCTGAGAAGAACTTTTCAATGTTTTAAGAGAGCATTTGTCTTTAAGTACCCACCAAAGCTGCCAAGACAAAAGGGCAAGATATAAAATGACAAAAATGAGAATAAGTACTGGGAAATGAACGTCGCTCGTAGGCTCCTTCTGGTATAACAACAACAAACAGAGTACACTCATTTAAAGAAGGTTCCTATGCACGGATGGCACCAGCGGTGTGAAGCGAAATATAGATCCGATGGCGTCATTGATTATCAAGGCTAAGAGTAACACGTAGTTAAGAGCGGCTTAAAAGGATCTTATAACGCTTATGATCGCCAATAACAGGCAATGGTCAGTAGCGCAAAAGAATGGAGGACGAATATAGGATTTATTTGAATATCTGCAACAGACGTTGACTACAAATGTGGTTAGGCATAAAGTGTCACAAATAAATAAAAAATGTGTTCCTTATTTTCGCTGTTACAAAAATCATTTGACACAGAGGTCACTATAAACTACTGCAGATGAATGGCTGAGTTAGCCTCATAGGATTCTACAAAATGAGTGAAGTAGTTGATTTCAGTTAATATAGCAACTCAAACTATCTAGCTGATGTATCTTAGGACGGTCATTAGGACTTCCTACTGCACACGCTCTTACGTGCTACAAACCATTCAGTTCCTCAAACAGTTCCCAAAAGCTGCAAGCCACCTACAGTAATCAAGAACCGTACCCTTCGCCTGCCAAGCCGCGAAAGGCAGTTTAGCGGAATATAAACGAACTGACGACGACGGAGCGTACAGGCAATATAAAAATATCAGGAACATATGCACGAAGGCTATAAGAGAAGATAGGCTTCAGTACCAGACAAAGCTTATGGACAAATTTGCCTCCAAACCTAAAAGCTTATTTCGTTATGCAGCCTCTCTTCGTCAAGCCAAAACAGGAGTTTCTCAACTGGTAGGTCTTAACGGCCCGACCAACAACGATGGCGACGCCGCTAACCTTCTGGCGGCACATTACTCTCAAACATTTCAACCGGCAGACATCAACTTTATTGACGACAGTTTCATCTGCAATTCCACAGGACTTTCTGAAGTGGACCTAAGCTCTGACTTGGTGTTCCGGAAATTGCAGCACTTAAGACTTGACACTTCTCCTGGCCCGGATATGGTTCATCCTGCCATACTGAGGGAGGCAGCCTCAATCCTGGCAACGCCGCTTAGCGTGATGTTTTCACACTCGCTTAGCCGAGGCAAATTACCGGAAAATTGGAAGTTGGCTCACATCACACCAATTTTCAAAGGTGGTCGACGCAATGAACCTTCAAGTTATCGGCCGGTGGCTCTTCTGTCATTACCTTCAAAACTCATGGAGTCCCTGATATGCGACGGTTTAAATGACTATCTACTGTCCTTAAATTTCTTCTCACCCCAACAGCATGGTTTCAGGAAGGGTTACTCTTGTACAACCAACCTGCTGACTGCGGTGGACAGATGGACAAGCATCCTCGATCGCAAGGGAAAGGTTGATGTCATTTACCTTGATTCCTCGAAAGCTTTTGATAAGGTTAACCACTTGTGTCTTATCAACAAGCTCAAACGACTGGGTATCAAACCACCTCTAATCGATTGGCTTACTTCATACCTAAAAAATCGACACTTTAAAGTTAGGGTTAATTTCACTTTATCTCAGGCTATGGAATGTCCTAGTGGGGTCCCCCAGGGCTCAGTACTAGGGCCTCTTCTCTTCTTGATCTACATAAATGATCTTCCTCAACAGGTAACGTCAGACTTATTACTTTTTGCCGACGACGTGAAACTTTGGAGAGAGATACGCAACCAAGACGATACACGGGCACTTCAGGAGGATCTGACGCGACTTCAAAGTTGGGCAGACGATAACGGACTTACCTTTAACACTTCAAAGTGTAAAGTAGTCCATCTGCGACATGTCGCAAACTACAGTTACAACTTAGGAAACTCCTCTCTAGTAGTATCCCAAGTCGAAAAATATTTAGGAGTCCTGGTGCCCCATGACTTAAAGTCTTACGCTAACTGTGACAAAAATGCCTTCCGAGCAAACCTTGCACTGGTAACGTTGAGGCGCATTTTTGGCCAGTTTGACGGAAGAACTTTCCATATAATCTTCAATAGTTTCATCCGTCCCCATTTAGAGTACGGAAACATAGTACTCCCCCCTCACTCCAAAAGGACAAGGTCACTTTGGAGCGTATCCAACGTCGAGCCACGAAATCAGTTCGAGGACTCAAATCTAAGCCTTACGAAGAACGCCTCCGTTCACTAGACCTTTACCCACTAGAATATAGGCGTCTTAGAGGTGATTTATTAGTGGCTTATAGTATTCTTAACACTTCTGGACATCCTCTTAAACACCTACTTAAGCTTAGTTCGAATAATAACCTAAGGGGTAACACCCAGAAACTGGTAACACAACATAGCAAGACGGAATGTAGACACAACTTCTACTCCTTAAGAGTTGTCAAATACTGGAATTCGCTGCCGGCCGAGCTAGTCCAAGCGACTTCTCAGGAGTCCTTCAAGAGGCAACTTGACCTATTCTTAAGAACCAAGGACAGCATCACATTATGATTTACCAATTTCTTTTCCTCTTTTATTGTTAACATACCTAGGTTCCTGCCTGGAGGATTTGGTGATCCCCTGCTACTAGACACGGAAGCCTGTTAAGCGAAAGCTTCTTCTATTTCGTCCACAACCATTTTGAACCATTTTGAACAAAGATTTAAGATATTGTCAGATTGAAACACAATTAGCTGCGCGATACGAGTTGAGTGCTGCATGTCGGGTTTAAGGAAACCACGGCTACCAACGCTCTTCCAGAGGTAGGTCCTATGTTTTTGTGATTACTAGTACTCAGTGATATAAATAGGCATAAAACTACGCACTTTGATTACTGATTATAACTGAAAATGTCAGTACTTCAGTATGTGCCTTTCGAAACAGTAGTAGACACCTCATTCTGGCATGGTTTAGCTGATCGGAAGCTCAATGAATATCGTCTTTCCGAAGGCCCTTTTGAAATATCAGCACAGTTTACAAATAGTCATGCTAATGGCGTTTCCCCCAGGCTGTCGATTGACGTCACGTCATTTTGCGATAGTAATGTCAAAAGAAGTCATACATCAACGACCTTCAACATTTATGGAAGCCTATTATGCCTAAATAGCTTGGATGAGTTTAAGAACGTCGATAAACAGTGTCTTCTGAATGAGCACGGTAATAAATTCATGACCGAAGCTGTTTCACAGAATGAATTTTTGAGGAAGCCTGATTTACTTCTCCGGTTCATCCTTTTGACATACTGTGATTTGAAAAGATACAAATTTTACTTTTGGTTTGCTTTTCCTGCCGTCTTACATTCCGTTCAGCCAATAGTTACGTCTACTCGGAGTATTAGAGAGGAGTTTACTGAGGATCAACGTGTACTCATTTTCCGTTCATTTGATTGTTGGCGCAAAGAAAATACTTCTCCATTTTTTGTCTTAAAATCACAACCGTCGCTTGAAGTCCTTCCGTTGTCTTGTTTTGAATTGACTCCCTATGTATATGTTGGTATGTGTGATTCTTCTGTAGACTCACAGTCACCTTGCTGGCTATTACGCAATCTTTTGTACGCCATGTCTTCTACCATTATTCAAACAGAATGTTCTCTAAGGATTTTATGTCTCAGGGATCGGTTCACTTCAGGAGAAAGATTTTTGGGGCATAGCATCGTCATACACATCAATATACAACCCACAAATCCGACATTTACTCAGTTTGTTGGCTGGGAAAAATGGAACAACAAACTGAGACCACGTGTAGTAGATCTTAGTGCAAGTATGGACCCAGTTAAACTAGCTGAATCGGCAGTAGATTTAAACTTGAAACTAATGAAATGGAGGCTAATGCCGGACCTAAAACTGTCAGTTTTTCGCGATACGAAGTGTTTGTTGATAGGAGCTGGTACTCTTGGCTGCAATGTCGCTCGTCAGTTATTGGCCTGGGGTGTTCGTCATATTACCCTGATAGACAACAGCACAGTTTCCTTTTCAAATCCTGTACGGCAGTCTTTGTATGTTTTTTCTGACTCCGTGGGCTCTGTTAAAAACAAGGCAGTTGTTGCGGCCAAGGCGCTCCAAACAATTTTTCCTGGGGTGAATGCTCGCGGTTTTGATCTTAGCATCCCGATGCCTGGACATCCTGTATCTTCTTATAATCGATCTCAACATCCACAATTTTCCGAATTGGAGCAGTCTGCAGAAGATACTTGTTTCAAATTAAGTGCTTTGGTTCACGAACACGATGTGATATTCCTACTAACAGATACTCGTGAATCACGCTGGTTACCCACAGTTTTGGCGACTGCTCATGGAAAACTGGCAATAAATGCTGCTTTGGGTTTTGATACATTTCTTGTTATGCGTCATGGTGTACGAGGTTCCTTTAAATCCCCAAGTTCAAATGTGGATAGCCTTACTCCACATATTTCTTCCCTCAATTTCGACGAAGTGATTCCCAACAATGAAGATTCTTTCAAAAAGGCAAGAGCCATTAGTGGTTCTTTTCTAGGTTGCTATTTCTGCAATGATGTGATTGGACCTATGAATTCAACACGCAATCGCAGTCTCGATCAACAATGTACCGTTACTCGACCGGGAGTGTCTATGGTCGCAGCTGCTCTCGCTGTTGAGTTGATGATCAGTGTACTTCAACATCCACTCCTCTATGAGGCTCCAGCAGATACACTATCTCAAGAGTTTTCCAGCCTGGATTCAACTAAACTGTCTCTCGGTGTTGTTCCCCATCAAATAAGGGGCTTTCTTTCTCATTACACACAGGTTTTGCCTGCAACATCGGCATTCACCAAGTGCTCCGCATGTTCTCAGTCTGTACTGGACGCTTACATGAACAATGGGTATAACTTTTTACGTCAGGTCTTTAATGACGCTTCTTATCTTGAAAGGATATGCGGTTTACAGAATCTTCATGATGAAATTAACAGTGAATCAATTTTGATGCTAAGTGACGCTGATGACTGACACTTATTTATCTGAGTTCGTCTTTTCTTATTTTATGAAGGGTTGAAATCATGCTAAGATTACGTCTTATTAATTATTATGTCAATGAACACTTTACTTCTGTATAGCTCAGTAATTTTTGTGAATATATTGAAGTACCAACTTTGACTTTTTGATACAAATGCTGTTTCATTCAGTAAGTACTACATATCATCTGTTTTTTCTGCCCAAGTTCTTGAGTCATTTCCCTCTTAAGAATTTACGCAAATTTCCGAGCAGTGACATGGTTCAGACAATTTACATTTTCTTACTGTCAGATTACAATTCATACTACTTGCACTTTCGTTTGGACGACCATATAGGTTCTGCCTTCTTTACCCCTAATTGCCGAATTTGTATGTGGTTGTGTAGATGGATTGTCATTTGTATGAGTTTACGCCTTTTCAGCCTTCTACTTTCTTGTTGTATAAAGTGTTGAATATAAAGTCAATAAGTCAAGTGTAAGTGAGATTATATCGGAAAAAGACGATACTCTCATCTGCTCCCAGTCCAGACGTTTAGAACGATGGGCGGAACATTTCAGAAAACAGTTCAACTGGCCTTCAGCTACTCTACAACTACCCTTCATTCCCAGACAGCGTGAATGGAACATTGAAGTAGGTCCCCCGACTCTAGCTGAAGTTGAGAAGGCTATAGTTAATCTGAGACGAGGAAAGGCAAGTGGTCCAGATGGACTGGCTCCAGAGGTCTTTAAGGATGGTGGTCCAATTTTAGCGATTAGGTTGACTAATATTTTAGCTAAGATCTGGGAGTTAGACGTTATCCCATCTAACTGGTCACAATCACTTATCGTCCCAATATATAAGAAAGGGTCAAAATCATCCTGTGACAACCACAGAGGGATTAGTTTGACTAATATAGCATCTAAAATACTAGCCTCGATAATTATCAGACGCCTAACTAAGACTCGTGAACTGCAAACACGAGAGAATCAAGCTGGTTTCAGACCTGGTCGTGGCTGCATCGACCACATATTCACCATTCGTCAGATTCTAGAACACAGGCATACTTATCGGCGTCCGACGATGGTGGTCTTTCTTGACTTAAAAGCAGCATTTGACTCTGTAGACCGCGAGACTCTGTGGCAGTGTCTGTCATTGAAAGGTGTACCTCAGAAGTACATAAACCTTGTGAAGGATCTTTACTCGAACACTACTAGTCGAGTGAGAGCTTACGGCGAACTGTCATCTGCTTTTGCAACCTCAAGTGGTATCCGTCAAGGCTTTCCAGTTTCCCCATTTTTGTTTAACCTCATCATAGATCTACTGATGGAAATAACTTTCTCGTCAACTGAGTTCTCGGGTATTGATCTCCATCCAGGAGGTTCACTTATCGACTTAGAATACGCGGATGACATAGTCCTGTTTGGTGAAGACGCTGACAAAATGCAGAGTCTTTTGGTAGCACTGAGCAACAATGCCAGAATGTTTGGAATGCGCTTCTCTCCCTCTAAATGCAAATTGTTGCTTCAGGACTGGTCTGCGTTAACACCTGAACTAAGGATAGGGAGTGAAGTAGTCGAACACGTTGACAACTTCACTTATCTTGGAAGTCTGATCAGCCCTAATGGGTTGATGTCTGACGAAATTTCAGCACGGATTCGAAAAGCTCGTTTGGCTTTTGCCAACTTACGTCACCTGTGGCGAAGGCGAGATATCCGTCTCAATAAAAGGACGAGTATACTGCGCGGCAGTCCATTCTGTTTTAATTTACGGCAGCGAAACATGGCCATTAAGAGTAGAAGATACTCGTAAGCTATTAGTATTTGACCACAGATGCCTTAGAAATATTGCTGGCGTCTGCTGGGATCACCGGGTAAGTAATAGTGAGATTCGACGCATGGCATTAGGAAATGATGGTAAATCAGTTGATGAGGTTGTGAATCTTCATCGACTGAGATGGTTGGGCCACGTGTTACGTATGTCTGAATACCTATTACCACGACGTGCAATGCTATCCGGTATTGGAGATGGTTGGAAGAAAGTTAGGGGTGGCCAAACCAAAACATGGCATCAGTGCTTGAAGTCACTAACTTCTGGTCTGAGCCACGTTGGTAGATGCAGACTACTTGGTTGGGGTCTGCGTGACTATCGTAACCAATGGTTGGAGACTCTTGGTGACATGGCTCAGAATCGATCACAATGTCGCCGGTGTATACACTCCCTGTCTTCCCTTAAACTAAGAGATTAAAATCGCTTCATATCTTTCTTTCTACGAACCAGTTTTTTCTTCTTGTACTATATCTCTATATACAGTCTTTCTCTTATATATTACCACCTTTGACCTAACCACTGCTATGAATCCGGTGTTCATCTTGTTGTGCTGATGCGGTATGGCAACCTGGACCGATGCACATATGTGCCTGGTCCTACGTTGTAGCTGACTGACTGACTGAATATAAAGTTAAATAATCACTCAGTAGACTTCTGAGATATTTATACAATTGTAAACTGGTCTACAGTTATGGCTACACCATGTGAACATTAAAATAATTTGGATATGCGAATAAAAAAGATGTAAGCGGTTTGTAACATAATCTAGGTTTAAAGACGTATAAAAATAGCACGAGAAAACTATTTGATCTGGTTATTCCAAAATCTGATGCTTACCAATCTTTGAATTTAGTAATTCCTTCAGAGTTGAGTGACGTAACTCAACATATTTAAAATTCGAGAGGTCTGAACTGTTATTGTCACAACACTCTTTAGCGGTAGTTTTACATCTACTTGTATTGTGGAGTTCATCCTCCACTACATAAAACTAAATTGCGTTTATCGTTCAGTTTGGATCATTTCCATTTTTAATTTGACTTTCGTGACTAGTGATACAGTATTATGGAATGTTCGCACAATTTTCTCCTTTCTTCAGCCGAGCCACCGACACTTCACTCATAAATTGTCAGAAGTGTTTAGAGAAAGGTCACTGGACTTATCAATGTACAAATCAACGAAAGTATCTCAAACGCGAATCATACACCAGTATACTAGTGAAAAAGCTTGAAACTCAGAAAAAGTCAAAGATTCAAAAGTACGTCTAAAGCATATAACCTGGTTTTGTTCCTACAGAAAAACAAACAACACTGAATCATCATCCTCAAGCTCTAGTTCGTCCTCTGACTCTTCGACTTCAAGTTCTGGGGACGACTCTGATGATGGGGAATCTAGCTCAGAATGTAGTTCAAGCAGTAACGGAGATTCTAGCGACGACTCATCTTCCAGTACTTCCTCATGTTGCGAAAGCAGCCGATCTTCTTCCTCCACAAGTTTAAAGCGCATAAAGGAATGATCGTAATGGTATTGAAATTGTACAGTTATTATAATATATTTAAATATCTAGCTTTCTCACAACGAGAGAAATGTGTTAAATCGTTTACTAGGGCGTTGGTATAATGAATTAGCATCGTTAAAATAATGGGTTTGATAATTGTTATTGATCGGGATTATTGACTGACGTATGGTGTTCAGAAGGAATCTGTACTACGTATCATCGTCTTAACCGCATTTTATTAGCTAGGGCAATTGTTCATCATGTTTCTACAATATAAGGAAGGTTATCTGGATATTTGTCAGACTGAAAGTAGCTGTGGTAATAATATATGTCATGTTGTGGTTAGTGAAAATATTGTCAAACAAGACGAAAGCCTATCACTTACATTGGTTCAACTAGATTTTAGGAATTAGTTTCTAAATAAGCCCCATACACTCCTTTAGGCAAAAGTAAGAAAGATTAGTTCAGCTTAGGGTTCCCTCAGAGAATTAAAATTAGTCTTCAAACTAACGAAATCAGTATCTGTGGTTCGGAGATAATTCATTCAAAATAATCTACATCATCTAACAACTTCAAATATGTCATTAATGGTTGAGAGTTAGTTGTTATATACATGGAGTTTGTGGTTTTTAGGCTTTTAATTACACTGAAGATAAACATTGTAGAACTGACTGAGTGTTAAGCTTAATTGAAAGCATGTCAGTCACATCTTCATTGTATATGGGGCTCTAGAACATTTATTTGTGGTACCTTATATGAAACTTCAGTTATTTAAAGGATGTCCTTAACTTCATAGTGTTGTGGCGCTTCCTAAGAGATATTTTAAGGCACTAGAAATTTAAGTAGGATAATACACTCAGGTATAAGTTTTTCAATAGTTACCTAAAAATTAAGCGACCACTGACACTTACCAAAGATGTTCATTACTATACTCCCAGTCGTGTTGGAAGATATAGGCATTTGAATTGAATCTCGTGTAGTCATTATAATTTATGATTGAGGATCTTGAATGACGTGGCTGAAAATTAGTGGCGGTGACAGTGAAATTCATTATAGATATTCTGTATCCTGAGCTTAGTATCACCTTCAAAATCTTCCGTCCCTTCCACACTTCCCTATGCTTCGTTCCCCACTATATGTTCATACCAGGCACTCATTTTATAACATAATACTGTAAAAACAAAGAACAGTTTCCGTATATGCCAATTCTCCAAATGCCATCTTAATAGTCAAGCTGCTTCGTTGGTCTGGACGTGGTATGTAAGACTTATCCTTTCTCTACCTCATTTCCATGTCGTCGTGCTAAGCTTACATGATAAATTGAGCCAACGCACAGCCGTCCCCGGCTTCACGTTGGCGATGTCTGACTGTCTTGAATCTTATTTGATAAAGCTCACTTTTAGCAGATAAGATACAAAAAGACTAAGATGTTTACGGCGAATATCAATGTTTTCGTAATCTTTCTGTTGAGGGTGGGGTTTGTGGAGATTGTAATAAATTTAATTTATTATTTATTTGTTTGAACACAAATATTGGTACAAGGGAGCGCCAAATACATATGCGCCACACAAAACAATGAGAATGGGAAGAGAAAAAAGGGAGATAAGGAGCGTAAAAAAAGAACAATAACGGCCAGATTAGTGTAAGGAAGTGTGTTATAACTCTCTTTTTTCTGGTTATGACCCAGCTATTCCTATTGCTTAGTATTCTCGGACACCGATTCACTCGACAAGTCCCCAAATCAAAACACGGTTGAACAGGAAGAGATTATATTCCAAATAACAAGGTTAGATGGAAGCGAGAAGCAAGCCAGAAGCCCAATAGGGAAAAACGTCAGTATATTTATAGTTTTTACATAAGAAGATTCCAGAGTATTCTCCAACTATCGACTAGTGCTGATTGGATAAGAATCAACCAATCAGCGTGCACCAAAGCAATCATGCATTGAGCATGCTTTAATCTAGTCTATGTCCCGCTAACAAAGTGTAATAATAATAATGGGGGAGATGGAAAGGTACAACCATAAGAAATCTTTCAGTTAAGGAAGATACAGCCACTTTTATATGAAGAAAGTAAAAGAAGGTTACAGCAGGATCGCCACTGGCTTCTATTCTGAACCATATCTGATAACTTCTCTAGCCATTGTGTCGCACCATCTCTCGGACCCCAGCCAGGGAGTCGTGAAGGATCAACACAAGCCAGCTCTTTGCAGCTTCCTTTCATACCCGACACTATGTCATACACTGACCACCTCTCCGCTTCTTCCAACCAGTCCCAGAGTCGGCAAATAATGCACGACGTGGAATTCTCTTGGACGACATTCGTAGGACATGTCCAAGCCACAGAAGTCGGTGTTCCAAAATGGTGACAATTGGATTATCGTCTCTGCTCCCGAACACACGACACCGAACCTCTGCATTACTGACATGGTGTTGCCACTGAATGTCAGCAATCCTTCGGAGACAGTGATGATCGAACACAGAGTCGTCTAACATTCTCAACTCGGAGAGGCCAGGTTTCGCCAGCATAGAGCAAAACTGCTCTCACTGACACGTAGATCCGACCTTTTACAGCCAAAGATGCCACAGGGTCCCCGGATAAACGCATGTAAAACAAGCTTTTTGAAGCGACAGATGGAGTGAGGATTTGTAGTACTTCACCAGAATATTGAATAGGGGTCTCGGATAGACAACGAACGTCGATATTAAGACTTTCCAAAGACATAGCCAGCCCTATCTGTTGACCAACCTGCATAAGTGTGCGAACGTTGAAGGCAGGCAGTTTGAATGGTGCCCGTGGTTTCAGAAAAACTGCTTCAGTATTCGTATTTGATCGTAGCATACAATTTTCAGCCAGACAGTGACTCGAGAACGTTTAGATAGGACCGAGTTTCCACCATAGGCGAGCTACTGTATAAATCGGAAAAAAGGAAATACAAAGTGGGAATAAAAGAGAGCGAATAAGTAACGTGGTGAAAAATAATAATAATGTGAATGTTTGACTGTTAATCGAAGCGTGGATAGAATTTTCAGTAAATATCGTCATTTTCATTTCATTTGTATGTGGGCTGTGATACTGCCAAGGTGCCCAGACCGAAGCAGGTGGTTTTCTTAGGAGGCCACACCCCGAGCCTTTACCCTAAAGGTCTAACCCACAAGGCAGTGGAGCATCATGAGGAGATGAAGTCCCATGGTACCCGGTGACCAACGATTAGTTCATACGCCATTTGTTCCTTCAGGATACTGGAGCCCATGTGCACCATTGTTTTGGGATCCGGTTAAAGCGCCGGACATTCGCTTTCCATCCTCTCATTTTCGTAAACAATACCCCCGCCACGAGAAGGCAGTGAGTAGGACTCCCCTGACAGAGGCTGTGTACGCGTGGCTTGTGAGAGCATTTCGATAGGGGGCGGGCCCACCTCACCCTCGGCCATACCAGGGCAATTTTAATAGTTGAATTCATGAGTCGATGTAAGCTAGACCATCAATGAAAACCTGGAAGCACTGGACAGCCTTGTCGTCTTAGTATGGGACTCCTCAGTTTTGCGTACCTATGATCCCACACACAGGACTCGAACCCAGGACCTGTGGTCTGGCGTGCGAACACTAGTGACTAGCTTCAAGATAAATTTCCTGGAGTTTTCGTGATAAGTTTTGACCAGTGAAACCCAATCTGTGTAGGATGTGAGATATCCACCTCAGGCAGTAGATCAAGGGTTGAGCAATATCATGGATTGATTGAAGTTAGACATTAACACCATCGAATGTCGGCTCATTGGTCTGGAGGCTAAGCGTCCGCGCACGAGACCGAAGGCCCTGGGTTCGAATACTGCGTGCGTAGTTGTGGGTACTCACAACTGAGGAGTCCCATACTAGGACAAAACGGCCGTCCACTGCTCCCAGGTTTTAATTGGTAGTCTGGCTTACATCGACTCATGAGTTTAAGTATTAGTTTTCGTAATCATGTAAGTTATAAATTGTGAAGAACGTGATGGTTATTAAATACTGAAGTACCGTTTTTTTAAAACAGGTTGTAATCACACGGAAAATTTTTCCTCTATTTTTATGAATGCAAGTTATATGTGAGATGCAATTCATTTCATAATGGTCAATGCACTACCACTTGCGAACTTTACAGGGAAATAGGCAGTATACCACGACTATCAACGTCAGCGGTTTAGGCTCATTGTTTGTTTCTAAATTGGTGTTATAAAAAGGAAACATTGTTACAGTACTGTCAAGTTACTTGCTGTGGTTCATTTTACTAGCTTTCTTGCTTTGCATTAAATTCACAAACTCATTCATTATCATTTAAGATCTTATACTATTTTCAGTTAGCGAATCGTCTTTCGCCGAATAAGCCACTCGAATTAATTTATCGGGCATTGGATGACATATCTATTGATGGTGATAAAAGAACTACCTAATACTAAAGTATAAGTTTATTTCAGTATCTAATCCTGAGTTTTAGAGTGATATTTTAGTAAGTTGAGCATCGACAGAAGTCAAGAACAATCAGTACTTTACAGTTTTATTTGAATGAGTCCTTCCAAAACAATGAAAGAAACCGATTTCGGATACAAGCGTATCAATTATTTTTGACTAACTGAATTCGATTTTATAATCGGTATTTCAAAACAGTAAATTTTCGTGGTATAGCATGAGTCATTTTGTAGTAGGATAAGTTTAATCTTCACTGGAAAAAAATCGATCGGTAGTTATAGTCACTGACCTGTATGGTTACATCCAAGACTGCTGTTTATGTACACTAATTTGTAATAAATCATAATGATCTCTGCGTATGTTCATTGCTGTCAACACGAAGTATGGTTGTTATTGTTGTTGTGTATCAAATGTATGTACCGAAATTGTTCGTTACTATTACTCAGTTTTAGTTTTAACCTATGTTTATAATAGTTAATCATTTGTTTCAATATGTTCTATTGAAATTTATAGACAAATTTCATTTTTATCAAGGCTAACCACACGAATCTTTCCCTATGAGATGTGGAGCAGTGT